CATAAAAGAAGGTTTTTCTGAATGGAAATTAGCTGCTACACAAAGCACAGACAATTTATATAGGGTACATCTAGACTACATGCTTCTTTCAAAAAAGCTTCTTTCAAAAGAGATCGTCTAGACAGCCACAACTTTTTTCGAAAAAGCTATTTGCTTTTCCGAAAGAGAGCACCCAGGCAATCTGGATGCTTTCTTTTGAAATAGCCCAGTTTGCATTCAAGAACGCCTTTTTTCAAAAGAGCTCTTTCGAAAAAAGGTGTTCTTCCTCGTAAAATGAGGTTTACCGCTGTAGAAAAAAACACCGTATTCTTTCAATTTAATTTCAAAAGAACGCAGCAGCAGTCTAGATGCAGGTGACTTTTTTTTAAGAAAGAAACTTTCTTTCAAAAAACCCTGTAGTCTAGACATAGCCATAAAAAGAGGCCTGATATTTTCCAAGAGACTTTGTCAGGCTTTGATAAAGAGCAATAATGTCAAGGAGTAGGAAAAGTGTAGGAATCTTAAAACTATTGGCTAGAATCACTTAATGTCTGCAATGGCATGGGTACCAGCAGAAGAAAGTGTGTTTTCAGTGAGTCTGCAGTAGTGCAAAGCACCTGTAACTTCCTTTCTGACTGGAAGACTCCCTTGCTGGTCAGTGCAGCCTCAGGGGAGGACAGTTTCAGCTGAGGTTGTGCTTATTCAGCAAACAGCCAGGGCAGCCTCTGCCAGCTCTCTGAACTAATCTCTTTAGAAGAAATCCTGTGGGAGCACAAGCAGCAGTACTACTGTTAGTGCTCTCTTGATCACTTTGGGGGCTGAAATAGGCCAGGCTGGCGCTGAGAGAAAGAATCTGACCCTCATGTCTGCACACTGCTGTGGTTGTTGTGAAATAGGTGAGGCTTGGTCCACAGGGCGCACATGCCAGGAACTAACATTAGTATTCCAAACCTTCAGCTGATTAGTGACCCTCAAAGAACTGAATTGGAAGACCTAGGTTGCCTAGTTGAAATTGCATGTAGATAGCATTTTCCCCAGTAGGTTTAATTTAACACAGTTTGCTAGACAATTTGTTTAAGCCTCCAGCTTCAATTCTCTTTCTCTATGGCCTAGTTTAAAAGTTTTGTGTGAATGTGGGTATTAGAAATAGAAATCTTAGAAAAGATGACAATCCAAATTTCAGAGCTTTTTTCCCCACTCATTCCTCACTACTGAAAAGAAAGAATCATAAAACAAATGTACAAAAGAAAGTATGGGTCATTTAGAGACGTTAGGAGAAGCGTGACCATCAGAAGTTGTATATACTATGTATCTTCAAGATTTATAGGGATGAGAATACTTATATCAGATAAGATAGAAGCTATGGTTGAGGTGAAGACTCATCATCAGATGTGGACCTGGACTTTTATTCTAGTGGTTTGTCATAGGGGCACGTGAGCTGCTGGAGAAAATATTAGTTTTCCCACAAATTAATGAAACTTGCTATTAACTTTTAAAAGTTTCATGCTATTTTTGTGTAATTTTGCTTCTCTTAAATTATAGTTAGATCTTACGACTCTCTGAATTAGAGCCAGTCAGATTTTTTTTTAACTAGAGTCTACATGTGAAATTGTTGAACTGGCAGCACATATATAGAGTTGAAATCACCAACTCTAATAACCTTTTAATTTAGAGCAAAGCAGAAGCATTTCCCTGATTTTCTATCATTGCATATGCAGTATGTTTTATACACCTATTATTAAAATTCCAGAAGATTATGCATTTTACTGAACTGCTGTACTTTTAAGCCATGTAATATATTACAGGGCTCAAAGCTACAGTGCAATGGACTGAAGTTAAAGCTGGGGCAGGAAACCGGATAACTGGTGAACTAAGAGTAAGGCTAGTGGGTGTGTAATAGGGATGTTAATGGTAAATCAGGTTATGCTTAGCTAGGGGGTGCCTGGAGCAGCCCTCTGCCTGCTGTGGGCAGGAGGCTGTTCCAGCCCCGCAGGGCATGCTGCAAGTGGGGGTGTGTGACGGAGTTTCTGGGTGCGAACACCGTGCCCCTATCTCCCCGGGGGGGAGTTTAAAGGGGGTTCTGCGGACCCACCCGTCTCTCGACTGTCCCTGGTGTCCCTAGCCCAGTTTAATCGCGGTGCCAGTCAGTGGGTGCCATCACCCCCTCTGCCCTAGGTCGGGCAGAGGGGGGGTGCGGCGGACCCACCACCGCGGGAGTCCCTTCCCCCGTGGTCCGGGGCAGGGCCCCCTTCGCCCCTCAGGGGCCTGTAATCATCGGGGGGGGGGGGTTCAGGGCTGCAGCTCGGTCCTCGCCACGCCCCGTGAGAACGTCTCTAGTGCTCGAACACCTGCTTCGGGGTTGGGGTGAGCGGGGGACCCGGGCCCACCCTCACCTCCGGGTCCCAGCCCATAGCCCTAAGTGGAGTGCAGCACCTAACCGCTGTCCCCCACGGCAGACGGGGCTGGTGCCCGCAACTCAGCTGCCCACGGGCGCCAGAAGGGCCCCGCTCCGGGCTCCTTCCACTCCCCGCTGGTCAGCCCCCGCGGCCGAGCCGGTGCCAGTTCGCTTCCCCCGCCGAAGACGTCGGGTCCGTCCCAAGGCAAGTCGCCAGCTGCTTGCGCCGTCTTTTCTCGCTGCCCGGGGTGCTGGATGTCGGGCACCCCTGAAAGCCAGGGTGACGGCTCCCTGTCCTTCCCCCTTCCGTGCGGGCCGCCACCGCCTTTGTAGGCGCCGGGGAATGATGCTGTGGGGGTAAGCCCCGCCTCCCCGGCGTCCTGCCCGTGGCCCTCCTCCCGCCGTACGTCCGTGGCCCCGCCCTGCGAGGCAAAGCGCGGTGCTCTGGCCGGGCGTGGCACTGCGACTTGAGCCTCCCTCCTCGTTCCGCGGCGCGCACCTACCCGCATCCTCCGGGTGGGCCGGGGGGGGTCTCTCCCCCGCGGTCAGTGCGGACCCGGCCGGGTCTGTCACAGGGGGCACTCTAGCTCAGACAGGCAGATGTGATTTGTCGGGGAGCAACCCCCCACTCTATTTAATCAGTTCACTGGTTAAATTTGATATTTAACCAGTTAATGAACTAAACAGGATTTTACATCCCTAGTGTTTACAGAGTTCTTTGTGGCTGATACACAAATGCAAATATTGAGCTCCATGATGCAAAATAAAAACAAGTTGAACTTTATCTAACTGTAGTGATGCATTTTAGTTTGACCTCAGTAGCATTTTTTTGCCTAAAGTCTTCAAGAGTTGTATTGAGAGCTATATTAAGTTCAACTTCCACTTTCACTCTCGTTCATATCAATGCTTATCTGACATTAATCTCATTACTCTGTTTATTATTTTAGGATATATTTTGCTATTACTCATGAAGAGATGTTACCAGACTCGATGTCAAAAGGACTTATTATTTTTTATCAACAAATAACTGATTGTTCCTTACTGTAGCAGAAGGCTTGGAGACCTGTTCCATGTACTTGCAGCTTGGCAGTGACAGATTATTCTCCTTTCATGATGATGATGTTAATAGTAATATGGCTGTAATGTTGATATATTATTGTGCTGTATATAGACCTGGTCAAACAATTTGTTTAAATAGTTTTTCAACTATTCAATGCAATATTGAAGTTTTGACTAAACAGTTTTTTGTTTGTGCAATGTTCCTGATTGCATGGAAAAATCAACATTTAATTGAAAAGTCAAACATTTTGCTATTGGAATGCCAGTATGGTGTTTCATTGAAGTTGTAGTACAGGTTCCACATGGGTTCATCTGGCTTTGTTGGCTGGGCTCCCTACGCAGACTGTATTTCTCATGATGTATGGGTGCCATCAGACTACTATGCTGTACCACAGTGGCTCACCAAGAGGGCAGAATGATGCAACACGGAAGATGTGTTGAACAGGGGGAGAGAGAGAGAGAGAGAGAGAGAGAGAGAGAGAGAGAATGTATTTTGCATGGACTGTCTCTTGATTCTAGATCTAGAGATAACTTTCAAAAGTCAAATAAATATCTGGTTGGCTGTATTACAGTAGTTTAAAAACAGATGTTTGTGACTATATTACTTTTTATTATACATAATGGACTTTGCAATACGCCTGACTGTGTGAATAGTGAAGATTTATGGCATACTCATATCATCTATTCATGTAGAATTTTTGCCTTGTGTTGCCTCCTCTTCTCCCATAAAGGAAATCCTAGACAATCAAGCTGCTAAAGTACAATCTCAATCACTTTGGTCTACTGCCAGCATAGCTGACTAAATTGGTGACTCAGAGGGGAAGCTGTGTTAGTCTGGAATTTAAAAACTTAAGAGTGGTCCTGTAGCACCTTAGAGACTACCAAAAATATATATACATAGTATCATGAGCTTTCATGGGCACCCACTTTTTCAGATGAGTTAAACAAGAGGCACAGAGGAACAAATTTAAAGCAGAAAAAGAGGGGAGGGGGGAAGGAGGAAAACTCCCCCCTGTAAATTAAAGTGTCTGTCCTAAATGAGAATAATAGAGTGGGCTGTAAGTGTCCCATACTTAGCTTTTGATGTCATTTGGGTGTGGAATATAACAGCCCATCCAGGAAATGTCTTTGTTCAGTCCCTGGGTAAATGTGTCAAATTTGCATATGAAGGCCAGTTCCCAGTCTCTCTCTCTCTAATATGTTTCTCAAACATGAAGAAAAAATCTGCATAACTTGAAAGCTTGTATCTTTCAACAACATAGGTTGGTCCCATAAAAGATATTACCTCTCCCACCTTATGGAATCATAGAAGCATAGGGCCAAAAGAGACCTCACCTTGTCGCTCCAAAATCCTGGGACTGTCACAGCTATACCAACACTGCACACAAAGAAAATTAGATTTTTGCCTTTTGCACAAGCAAATCCATGATAAATAACTGATTATATTGTCATTCATAGGCCATTATTACATTTCAAGGCCCACATTAACAAATGGAAGAAAAGAACTGAGAAATATTTCAAGTATTATTTGAAAATTTAACCCTGTACTTTAAAAATATAATCTTATTTCATGCAATATTAATCAGAGGCTAAACAAAAATAGAACCAAATATAAAAAAGAGAATTTAATCATTATAAATAGAAGGGTTTAAAATATGAAAATGCAAACAGAAAATAAAATAACATAATGGTTAACGAGAGGATATACTGCTGATGAATACAAATGATTTGCCTACCTTTTCCAGTAATTATTCCTGAAAAACCTATTTTTCTAACTATGACTGGTAGAAATAATTAAAATATCATTTACAAATCACATCCATAATTACAGAGAAAGGATCCTATGGAATAAAGCTCATTTTCATTCATGCGATGGTATTTTATGCAGCTTTCATAAATGCATGATTTGTAGTCTAGATCATTTTGTCTAGTTCTTTGTGGAATAGTGAAATGACAATTAACAGAACTATAGACGCTCTTGATATGCTGATAAATTGCACCCTCATGTGGCTATATGTTTTATAAAGGCTAGACAGTTATGTTCTTTGCTTTTTTGTCACTAGGAAAGTATTAAAACAATGGCGATTTCATTAATTTATTTTTACAAAGAGCTTTGAAACCCTAAGTGAAATGCACCATAAGGACAAAGAATTATTATGAGTGAAAGTATTTTAACTTTATCAGAAAGAACTTTCTCAACTTTTTTTTTCTTTAAAGCTGTGGTAAGGATCATACAAGTTTGCGCTTATAGGCTATGTCTACACTGGCAGGTTCTTGTGCAAGAATGGCCATTATTGCGCAAAAACCCACAGAGCATCCGCACTGCCCTCCTGCTCTTGCGCAAGATTTACAACGGTGTCAGAAGACAGGGCTTCTTGTAAAAGAGCTATGCTCTTTTCTAACAAGTGTAAGTGTAACATGGCAGTGTGGATGCACTTCCGCAAGAAAGCCCTATGACTAAAATGGTCATCAGAGCTTTCTTGCGCAAGAGAGCGTCCACACTGCCATGGATGTTCTTGCGCAAGAACCCACCAGTGTAGACAGAGCCACTGAGTATAAAATTAGAGGCCAAATTCTGTCTTTTGGATGCAAGTGACTTTTGTATAAACAAGAGTGCCACATGCATGTAATTCACTGTGGAAATGTGCCCATATACAGAGCATAACTTGAAACAGACATGTTAACTTGACATCTATAAATAAAGTTTTCATAGGACTCTCTTTTAGTAATATTTTTTGCATTGAAATTATACTTCTATCTGTTCCTGCTTCTCCAAAGTTATAGTCACACAATCTGTAATAGCTTTTCTTTTTTCAGTGCTTCATTTTTAATCTAAGCAGGTGTTAGGACTCAAGCAAACTTTTAACACTCATAATTGATGCAGCAAGCTAGATTTTCCCCAGATTATGAACTCTCAATCTTAGAGGCGCTGGGGCACATCCCTGCCACATAGGATGTCACGTTGTGTGTCAGCTGCTGCCATTTTTCGGCTCACTGGAATCAGTGGGATACACTGCTATCCTCATACTGCTTGCTTTGTAGTAGTACTGCACATGTAATTATCTAGATTGGCCCTCAACAGCTAATAGTCATCCAGGGAGCAACAGAGAAAGGCTGCCCCTGGGACTACAGATGGAGCAGGAACCAGAGCGAACCCAGACTTCACATTTTGGGGAGTCCTGCAGCAGCTGCCTCAACCTATGCATGGGGTGGACAGCAGAGGATTTTTTTGGTGCCTGGCAGCTGCAGGTGTTCTCCCTCTACCCCACCGCAGAGGCAGGAGCTGGAGTGATCTGGCAGCCTGCCCCATTTCCCATCTCGCTGTGCTCCACTGTGCGGAGGCAGCGATTACAGCATCTTGGCCGCGGGGTGTGCCACATTGCCGGGGTGAAGTAGAACGTGGCCAGCTAGGAGTTAAGAACTGGAGTGGGGTGGCTGGTGCACTCACTCTGGCTCCTGCAGTGAAAGCAAAACAAAAAGAAAAGAAAAAGCAGCACCAGGAAAAAATTCTGTCAAGGAAAAAAAAAGGAGACATCAAAGTTATTAAGCAAAAATGTTGCACCACTTCCTTCAGTTTAGGGCCACACACTAACCACCAATGCACCCACCCCTCCCCCTAAGCCAGGCCCCCCCAGTCTCCCCATCCCAATGAACTCACACCCAGGCCCCCCACAGTGGTCCCATCCAAGTGCACTCACCCTTGCCTCAGACCCAGGCCCCCCTAGTGCCCCATCCCAATGCACTCACCCCTGCCTCAGAGCCAGGCCCCGCTAGCTTAGGGCCACACACTAACCACCAATGCACCCACCCCTCCCCCTAAGCCAGGCCCCCCCAGTCTCCCCATCCCAATGAACTCACACCCAGGCCCCCCACAGTGGTCCCATCCAAGTGCACTCACCCTTGCCTCAGACCCAGGCCCCCCTAGTGCCCCATCCCAATGCACTCACCCCTGCCTCAGAGCCAGGCCCCGCTAGCAAGCAACACGCACATCAGGACATTTTGTTTACCTAGAGTCAGGGGCGGCCCGTCCATCAGGCGAACTAGGAGGTCGCCTAGGGCACCAAGTTAAATGGGGTGCCAAATGGTGGTGCAATATTGAGGGGTTTGGAGGTGGGGACGCCAATTGAATGGTTCGCCTAGGGCGCCAGTTGCTGGCAGCTAGTGTAGGACCGCCCCTGGGTCCCACCATCCCTGTGCACTCCCCCCCTCCTCCTGAGGCAGGAATCCCAAGCATTGGGAACCCCGCTCCAACCAAATCTCCCCTCTCCACCACTTCAGAGCCAGGCAGGGAGGACCAATCTTACTTTTAAAATGGCTGCTCCTGCCCTGGCTTGCACTGTAGAGAGGGAGGCATCGCGTGGCCAGCTCCCAGTCTTTACTGGTCATGTGGGCCAGAGCAGCATGCGCCCCATTCCCACCTCAGCCTGACGCCCCCTCCCCCCAGCTTAGCACCCAGCAACTGCCCCTTTCTGCCCCCTTCGCTAGACTCTGCCGCGCTCCTCACTCCCGCCCGTACGCCCTGGCTCACAGTCACAGGGCGCGCGGGGCGTGGCGGGAGCTGCTGCAGCCCCCAGGACGCCGCGGCGAGGGTCCGCTCGCGATGCTCTTTGTGACGTGCAGCCTTTGCCCCCGCAGGGGCAGCAGGCAAGGGGCGGGGCGAGGGCCGGAGGCTTGGTGCTGGCTAGGGAGCACGAGCCCCACAGCCAATCCGAACGCCGCACCCGAGGCCTGAGCAGGCTGGCTTCGGCCTGATCCCTAGGCGGGGCTCTCCCGCAAGGCGGGCAGCTAAGCGCAGCGCCCGAAGCACCACGTGCCTCAAGCCGCAGTGACGCATAAACGCCGCTCTCACTGCCAGCGCGTGCTCAGAAGGGCGACGTTAGCCCCGCCTCCCGGATGTTGCGTTTTTCTTCCTGAGAGCGAGGCTGCGTCTGACACAGGGGCGCCGGAACCCGGACATGGGGGGGAGGTGGCTCTGGTTGCGAGCGCAGCGGCGGAGGGGGAGCCCCGGGGAGCGGCCGGCACGGGGCGGGTGGGTGGGGGCGGGGGGGGG